ATCAAAAGTCTGCCTTTCACTGCCACGAGCTCTCCGAGATGGAGACAGAAGCTTTTAAAAATGCTAAGTTATGATAACATATAAAAGAGGCTAAAGACTGCTTTGTGAACGTCATGCCAGATCCACCAGGCAGCACTAAAAATGATCAGTTTCCTCAAGTCTTTTTATACTTATTCTTCTAAATGTTTGTATCTGAGCATTTCATAAAATAGTTTTGCTCGCTTTATAACCAACATATAAGTCCAGTTTCAAGTCGCAACTTAAGAAATTTGTGTTTATCCCCGCTTCCTCGCCTCACCGTACAAAGGCCCATCTAAAGTGTGTTCACTATTCTATTTTTTTATTTTTTATGGAACTGACTTGTGTAAGTACTATTTTTCTCTGTATGTTTTTAGTTGTGAAACGCATTGTGATCCTGGTGAAAGACGCTTTATAAATAAACTTTACTTACTTATTTAGTGAAGTGGTTGATGGTTGGCGTGGGTTGCCATCTTTGTAGTCTGGTTCTGTAGTTCTAACTGCGGATGGGGAAATACACAGTGGAACCCTATGGGGATTTTTATGAGTCAAAACTGCCAAAATAAGTGATTGAATCAAAGCAAATACAAAGGCAAACTCCAGAGTAAAACTGCACAAAGAAACCAAACAGGGGAAGAAGAAAAGAAGTAGAGGAGACAGTGATGGAACTGGGAGTGAAGGATGACACAGGGTTTGAATACAGAATGACAAACGGGACTCAGTTGATGCACAGGAAGTAGAACGAAGAAAAAAACACTGGGGTTGATCTCACAACACAAGGGCAGCGGTGATGATCCAGGACACTCAACAATATTTATGGATAATTATCAATATTTATGGACATTGGTCATCTACCCCTTATAGACCAATACCAAGTCCTTCAAAAGAACTATAATAATAACAATAATAATAATGCATTGGTTTTATATATAACGCTTGTTTGGACACTCAAAGACGCTTCACATGTGTCATTATTCATTCACTCCATACACAGTGGTGATGAACTACTACTTTCGCCACAGCTGCCCTGGGGCACACTGACAGAAGCGAGGCAACCTGTATGTGCCATCGGCCCCTCCGAGCACCACCAACCATTCACTCACACACCAGACTCATTCTAGGCAATGGGGGTGAAGAGTCGTGCCTAAGGACACAACGGCAGTTTGGCACTTTACAGCCGCAGCCGCCCCACTGTGGCATCAGGTGTTCCCAGAGGTTAAGTGTCTTGCCAAGGACACAACGACAGCAGACATCAGTGGGAGAATATTTAACCTGGTCGTTACAGCGCTCCCAAAGTATCAATCCATCTCCGAATGCATTTCTACGGATCATGGACCATTCCAGGCAAATCGGAATAAAAAAGCACATTCAAACATACTTGACAGCTTGGATTGTTTTTATGCCAGAATGCTTATTTTCCAGCCAATTATCTCTCCTTCACCGACACGTTAACATCCCTATTTACCGCCTGTAATTTACCGCAGCCAGCGAACGCCTCATGCCAGCGCTGATGTAAAACAGTGCCTCAGTCCCTCATACTTTCTAAGATTTATCCGTGTGTTTTCTCCGTCTGCAGGTGGCTTAGGAAAAGTCCATCTTCCACATTTATCTCTGCTGAACTCAGAACAGGTGGCTCCAATTCCTTCACAGATTTGAGACTATATAGAGCAATGAATCAGCCTGTGCGGAGCCTTTATGTACTTACTCAGTGTGCAGATGCAGATGATATAGTTTTGAGCCATTTATTGCCTTTTCGCTGGGAACGCACTTTTCTACGTGAGTAATGAACCGTAAGGAGCGAATCTGTACGCTTGAAAATCTCTTAATTTCTCAAGCAGCAGTATTTTATCTTAAATTTAACACAATTTATTATCAAGCTCAATCTCAATCTGTATGTTTTCGTCCTTTGCACTATGTATAAAGGTGAAATATGAACCGGATTTGAACCAGGTTTGTACATTCATAGTTACATATTGTTTTTGACTTTTGGTTGACTTTTATATACCCTAAGCTGCTCAAATAGATACATACAATAAAATAAGAATTAAATGATAATTAAGGTGAATGAGAATGGTGGAGGGGAGCGTCTTTGCGTGTCTCCTCTTTTGACTAATATTGATTTTATTTAGTAGTTTTTTCAGTTTTATATATAGTTATTTTTTAATGGTTTATACATGCCTCAATAGTGTAGGTTTGTTCTGATGTGGCGTTGCGTTAGATACGGGGCCAAAAAGCCTTTATTTTGTCCTGTTTATATCATTTGGAAATTTTTTGCATCGAATAGCTTGCAATGTTAGAACAATACAATTTAGCTACAATCTCCACAAGCTTCACTTCTGCCAAAATAATGTCTTGATTAATCTAAATGTTTTTCTTTTTATGGATACCTCATTGACTTGAAAACCAGTGGGAGATAATGGTGGGAGTTGTATTTTTTCCGTTGACTAAAACACAATTTGAGTTAAAGTTTCCCGTTTTCTCAGTTTTTGCAAAGCAGTTGTATATAAAAACAGTTATGTAAGGGATAACGTATATTACAAGTCATTATCTGATAATGACCTGCGTAATATACGTTATCCTGCTTATTATACGGCTTTGTACCAACAAAAAACACAAAATAAACTTCAGGCCACTTTTAGGAATGCCGAAAGGTTTATTTAATGACAGAAAATAAAATAGTTCCCAAAGGCTTTCCCGTGGCTATGCTAGCAACAGTTAGGCTAGCATCTTCCAAACTAGAACTCTCTGGAACTGCATGAAATCTGAACAAAGAATTCTGAACATCAGCGGTGAGTGACCCAAACATAAACTCAACCTAAAACCATAATTTGATCCTCTGCAAATGTGTCCTAAAATTTCCCGTTTTCTACTTCCGGGTTTTTCGGGATCGCTTTTTCTCGCATTACATCAGTGTTTTTGTCATCAAAACGGAAACAGAAAAATTTGAAAACTTGCACTTGTATTAATAATGTATATGTAATATACTCTCTGATTAACATGTAATGGCATTGATTGATTGGCATTTGCGTTTATTGAGCGTGAAAAGCTCCGGAGTGGCCGGAACTACTTCCGGGTTTTTCACGACCGCTTTTTGACGCAGAGAAATAGTATTTTTGTCATGAAGACAAGACCAGAAAATTCTCCATGCACGTGTGTGAAGAATGTGTATGTATAAGTATTCTCTGATTAACATTTAAGTGTGTTGATTGAGCGGAGTTATCCACGCATTTGAAATACAAGCAGAGAGTGCGTTGCCATGGGCAGCGGTCATTATTGTTTTGAGAGGTCCGTTACAGAAAATAATGATCGGTAGAATGTTTTGAAATTACATTAAAATCAATGGACCGTTTTACTGCTGCTGTGAGGAGCTGTATAATAAATATATACATATATGTTAGGCCTAAACATTTCAGACACGGTTTGACACCTCATGTAATTTAGTTGTCAAATTGTGTTTAGTTGATCGATCCTCCTCAGGGTCTGTTCCATGTTAGGTACTGCTGACCTCACAAATGGGGAAATGGGGATTTTACAATTTTTACACCACTTTTTTGTCATAACTCATCCGTCTGTCAGGTCAACCATTTCACCACCATTATTCAAGTGAAAAACCAGCTATTATTAGATCATACAAATCAGACACGGGGCCTTTTTCTCACTGGTAATGTATCATTTTCGAATCCAGTCAAAATACATGTCAAAATTTGGCTCATTGCATCTGTCATAATGGGACTTTTTGGGATCCGGGACGACACCCACAGTGACACATGCTTTTGTACAGGCATCAAGACGGCTCCAAATACACTGCTAAGACGTGTGCAAATGTGAGCGCATACGTCTCGTCAGTCAGTTTGGCTCAGAGTCGCCGTTTTCTATACAACTCTGAGCAGTGGAAGAAGTGAAGTTATGCTTGGCCTGTGATGACATAATACTCGAGTGAGCATGTGGAGGTTTCAAAATACAATCTGGTGGAGAAATGAAGAGGAAAATGAAGTATATGATATGACTTTTATGATAAAAAATGTGTATGTAAGGTTGTAGATGACTTTGATTGCGCCCATGTGTTTTTGCTCACGGTTGTTTTGCTGTGATTCTTTGACAAACAAATCGATTTTCTGTGCCTCGAGGATCTTAAACAGTAATATTCAGGATATCCGTGCTGCTCTGGTCTTGCTCTTACCTTGAAAAATATATTGTCAATTGTGTCCAAATGTTTAAAAATGTCTCCACTTCTCTGATAGAATCGTCCTCATTTCTTCTTGCCTGAAAACCGTTTGAACTACATACATTTCCTGAAGTTATGGGTCGACAGTGGCTCAGTTGGTAGAGCATTGGCCTTTGAGCCTGAAGGTTGTGGGTTCGTGCCCACCACAAGACCTACTTCAAGACTCCCACTGATGACTGCTGTCGTTGTGTCCTTGGGAAAGACACTTAACCCCACTTTGCCTGAAGCTCCTGTGGACTCACCACCTGCAGGAGGATCGGTGAGGGGCTGGTGCTATGTGTACTGGGTGCAGCTCTGACTGCCACCCCCCCCTGACCCAGAAATGGATTAAGGGGAAGAAAATGGATGGATGGACATTTCATGAAATAAAATAATTCTATGTTGGGTCAAAAGATTGTTAAAAGTCACTTAAAAGTAAGATTTACTTACAAACGCTGTACAATTATGCTGTCCACACGTAGTCAGCCCACACATTAAATACTTCCTCCAAATCAGTATCACATTTTAAGATAAGATAAGATAGTGCTCTATTTGACCCTCAGCTCCAGACTTCACCCATGTCCACAAACACACACAGAGAGGAGCAAGAGGCAGTGAGGACTATAGTGACAAAGTTGGGGGCGTGACATTTTGATTCATCCATGACTTCTGCCACTTTGCCATCATGATCACTTCCATTTCCATGAGTTTTGCCCTTTCTGAACTCAGTCTCTCACATATTTTCCCTGACAGAATCTTTTCCTCTGTTTCGCTGCAGGCTGGTGGTTCGTCAGCACCTCGGAGGAGCAGGGCTGGGTCCCGGCCACGTACCTGGACTCGCAGAGCGGAACCAGGGACGACCTCGACCTGGGCACCTCCCGCACTGGAGAAGGTCAGCACACACACGCATACACACAGACACACATACACAGCAGCTCCCTGATTGGTCAAAAGTATCTTGAGCAAATCTCACTGGTTGAATAGTTACGCCAAGGGAATGAGGGGAGGGAGGATTTTAAATATATTCTGATTGAAAAATACCTACAGTACATATTAGTGCAGAGTCTAATGGTCAGAGATATACATTATTTTAACATTGAATCACAATTCAAGTTGCTGGCATAATTCAATTCAATGTATTTTTGTATTGCCCTAAATCACAACTATAGTTATCGCGAATGAATTTACAAGCTGTCGATTCGCCAACAACAGATCAGAGAATCAAGCAGTTCAAACACAGAGAATGCAATGATAAAAAAACACACAGAATCATCGGTCCGTAAGGGTGAAGATGACCAATGTCCATAAATGTTGATAGATGTCCATAAATGTTGTTGAATGTCAAAAGTCCTGGATTAACACTGTCTTTCCACTGGGTTTCCAGCATCAGCAAGGAAAAAACTATACAAGCTAAAATATTAAAACAAATTTAAATCATTTTGGCTAACATGCTCAACAATACAATATAAAGTTTAGCAAGCAAAGTACATACAGTACCATACCACATGCCTATACCAAATACACACATGCAAACACGCAAACACACACCCATACACTGACCTTGCCACCCAACTCCAACCCCAGCTCATCCACACTTTTACCCCCCAGTCTTTTTTTCCCAAATATCTAAAGAAACATAAAAGGTGTTGTGCATAAAGGTAGTTTCAGAATATAGTCCACAATCTACTCTATACATGATGTCCTTAGATAAAAAAGACAACAGTGACTTAAATGTATGTGTTTGTATTTATCAATCAGGACAGTACTGTTAGAAATGCATGCAGTCAAACACACATACAGTACCATACCACACACAAACACACACCTACACACTTGCCACCCAACTCCAACACTTTTACCTCCAAGTCCTGTTTTCCCAAATATCTACAGACACATAAATCCATGTTCTAATCTGTACATTATGATTTTACAAAAGAAAACATCAGTGACTTAAATTATATGTTTTTACTTATCAATCAAAGTAGAAGAGATACTGTAGATCCAACCTCTTTCAACCGGAGAGCTATTTTTATAAAACAGAAAAGGCAGAGAGCTACTCCTTTTTGCGGTCATAATACAAATGTATGTAATAATTATGACAAAACATGGAGAACACATGTAAAATATACCATAATACTGTATCACCCTATACTCATACTTATAATAGACATGTAATTACTCAAAATGTATTCATTACAGATAATTTGTTAAATTCTAAATCCTTTGGCGAGCTACCTGAAAGGGCCTGGTGAGCTCATTTCAGGACCCCTGCTGTAGCTCATTTTAATATTTTCTTTTTTAGTGGCTGATTGCTGTGTTTTTTCCGTCTTCCACACGACAGTAAACAGACTTCCATTCACACACATGGATCCTCACAGACCACAGATGCAGCGGTGAAACGGCGCCAAACGCTTTCTTGATATTTTGGCACGGGAGAAAATTCCAGTGTTTTCCCCGGAGAGGCTGCGTGTGGTGACCCTTCCTCCCCAATGTTTAGTTTGCACCCGGACCGAGCGTTTTCAGCACCGACTCCATGATGACCTCCAGCCATAAAACCCCAACGCATACATTTACACAAAGAAAGGGTTTTTTGGTTGTTTTTATGTAATTTAGCTCAGTCACTATTCAAAAATGTATGTTTAAAAATACTGTTGCTTCACACACATAAGTATTCAGGCTGCTATCAAAGGGAATAGATGGTGTTTTTATGAAGAAACCAGTATTAAACAATTAAAGACTTCCCATATGAAGGAATTAGTATCATGTAGAGCTGCGTTCACTGACTTATCAAACTGTTTTGCAAGATTCGATTTGATAATGTTGAAAAATGAGATTCAATTCAACACAGATCAGAGAATCTAATCAATGTTTTGGAAATGGAAAATGTTACAATGTGAGGTAAAACTCATTCGTACTTAGTTATGTACGTATTTGTCATGTTTGGGATGAGAGCTGATTGGCTGACAGAGGATGGTCCTGTCTGTAACACTTTTCTGTTTGAAAAAGTTGATCCAAAGATGTGACAAAGGCCAAAAAAACATGAATTTGAAAACTAGTGATAGATTCAAACTGTTTCAAACTAATTTCATGGATCTTATTACAGAGTTACACTGATAAAAATGATCAAATATGAGGTAATACTTTCTTGAATCGAGGGAATTTTTTGTCTTCATTTTAGTACATTCTGACTTAAAACAAGATTTGCCAATGGGACAAAGCCAATTAGTCTGATTTCTCATTCCATGGGAGACATTTCTTGTATCTTTTTACAACAGTGTCATTTTGCTTCGTCCCATTGGCAAATCTTGTTTTAAGGCAGTCAACATGTGCTCAAAGTAGGATACATTTTGCCAAATGTGTGCCGTTTTTCACCTATTCTTCATCACTTTTGCCATGAGGAGCCAAAAATACATCCATGTGAAAAACTACACTACAAAAATTGATGAAAAATAAGTTAAAAATTGCTCAAATTTGGCAACATGTATCTTATTCTGAACACATTTTGACTAGCAAGGTAAAAATAAAAGAATAAAATAAATGTTTCTCTTGGAATGAAAAATATAAGTCAGAGTGTACTTCAAAAAAAGATACATTTTCCCAAAATTGAATTTTTTGTAACTTATTTTTCAGTATTGTAGTGATAGATTCAAACTTTTTCCAACTAATTACATGGATTTCATCGTTAAACATATTGTGATTTGAAAGTTACAGTAGGTACCCCAGCTTGAACTCACGCTTTCAAAAATCATATTCATGTTTGGTTCGAAGCCCCGTTGTCTTCCCAGCCCGGCCCGTCTTGCCGTTTGCGCGCTTTGTCACTCCACATCTTTTGAGACGTGCCCTGCTCTCTCGTCCATTTCTTCTCATTACCGTGCCAGAGTCTGTGTAACCTAATTCTTCTGACAGCTCGGCTCACTGGAGAGGAACCCACAGCCCACAAATTACCTCCAAATAACATTTCCCTTTGTGGATTCCCTGCGCTGATATTTCAATTAGGAGGTCAAGCCAGGTACAGTAGCCAATCAGGAACCAGACGAGGAGGAGGCGGAAGGAGAAGTGGAGAGATAAGAAGGGATGGGGACAGGAAGCAAGGCGGATATGGGATACACTAATAATAATGTCTGTGTAAAACTGGAATGTACTTCTGTTTTATGAGCGTTCAGAACAGGAATCTTAGTTGCGCACTTTTTTAAACTCGGAGGAGTTCAGACATGTATTTACTTTATTTAATTTATTTTGCTTATTGTATTTATTTTATTTATTGTATTTTTTATTTATTGTATTTATTTTATTTATTGTATTTATTTTTATTCATTTTATTTGTATTTATTTATTTGTATTTATTTATTTATTTATTTTCTTTATTTCTTTATTTATTATTTTAATTTTATTTTGCCTTCCTCCTATAGTTAAAATCCTCATCCATCCTTGATTGGTATAATAGCTTTACCTCTCTATTAATACTACCATTTTTTTCTCCATTATGAGTTAAAATACCTAACTTTGAA